AGGGTAATATGGTTAATATGATGTAAATATAATAATAATTCAGTGTCAGTAAATATGGTAAACATGAATTTTAACCTGGCCAAAGTAAAGAATGCCTCTTCCACATTAATGTTAGCTTTGGCACTAGTTTCTAAAAACTTAATTTTAAATTCGTCGGCGAGTTGTTGACCTTGTTCTTTAGTAATTGCCTAAGAGATGGTAAATTTAAGCACGAAAAATTTCTTGAGAAACTTTTTTTTAGGAATGTATGATTAAAATAAAAAAAAAAATACCTTCTTCTCAACCCAGTCACATTTATTACCAATAAGGATTTTATTAACACCTTCGCTAGCATGCTGTTCTATGTTGGAAAACCAGTTTCTTATATCTGTTTAATAATAAGAAAATTAAATTATGAATAAATAGAACAGACATAAATGATGTAATCCTCTTTATTACCAATGTTTAAAAGATACCTACTATTAAAAGACCGTTCATCGGTGACATCATACACTAAAAGTATACCCATAGCACCACGATAGTAAGCTTTTGAAGACATATAATAGTATAAATAACAAATCTATGGACGTCAAATGAACGATAATTCGAAAAAAAATATATATATATTGTTTTTTTTACCAGTAGTGATAGTACGGAAACGCTCTTGACCTGCAGTATCCCAAATCTGGAGTTTGATTCGTTTTCCGTCCAATTCGATCGTTCGGATTTTAAAGTCGATTCCAATAGTAGTGATAAAAGAAGGAGTAAACGAGTCATCAGAAAAACGAAGTAACAGACAACTTTTACCAACACCTATAAAGAACAACGAGAGTTTTCAGAGGAGCGATAAAAAACGGAAGAAGAATAATATAAACGAAGAAGTAAAAAGCTCGATAGAGTTGCGTTCACGGAAGATGGAAAAGCGGAAGCTAGTTCTTCGGTTGATAAAGTCACAACCCCTTTGTAAATTTGTTACAGCTTACTAACCTGAGTCACCAATTAACAAAAGTTTTATGAGATAATCATAGGCGGCGCTCTTACTTTGAGCCATTGTTTCGCGAGTTTCAAATGAAAAATAGAATAGAGTATGGTAAAAGATTAATTCAGTTCGCCACAATGATAGAAAACGCAAGGTAGCTAAATATACATAACGATAACCGTAACTCGATTGCCACGTGATTTTAGGCTTCATAAAAATCACAGAATTTTAAATAAACCATATTAATATAGATTTATTTGAAAGAGAGAAAAGAGAGGTTACACGAGAAGCCACGATAGCTTCATTATACGTACAGCTTTACAATTTAAGCCCAACTGCTTTAGAAACATATTTAATAACGACAAGAACTAGATAATCATTTACTTAGATTGGGTTTTCATTACAAATAAAAAATCCGTAGGCCCAGGCACGACTCAAATCTTGAGCAAGTTGACTTAGCTTTAAGTGAATTGTGTCGACAAATTCCTAGGAATTCTGTTAATCTATGTCTTATTATCGTTATTATTATCTTATTATCGTTATTATTATTATTATCGTTATTATTATTATTAATTTCATACGTATTTGTACGGGACATGCCTTGGACATCAAATTTAGGTAATTTAGGTGGGTTTCAAAACCTGCGGAATTTAAATAAGGGTTGTGACTGGCTGACTGAGCAAATATTTGTCCCCGTGCAAAACATATTTAAAGGTCGGTGTCAGTAAAGTTTGATTTTAAATATTATATATTAAAGATTTAAAAAATCAGATTGGCTAATTAGTTAATATGTATTTGTCACGGCTGATGCTAATTCTGAAAACTAATGCATCTTAGTTAACTAATAGTTAATCTATTAATCTTATTGGTTAGTTTCAAGTTTCAGCTTCAGCCGTGACAATATGTGATCATGTTTACATAAGAATAAATTAAAAATTCAAAGGTAAAATAAATCATTTGTTTTACAAATACAGTATATGTATATATGTAGTACGTCAAATTAGAATAGTGTGAATTTTAAAACAACGGATTTGCGCCAAAGAAAAACCGGACTCAATTCTATAGGTTTGAAGTCTGGTTTCCTTTGGCGTCACTCATACTCATACCCGATACATGATTGAAGCAGTAATACTCTAACTTGCAATGGCCTTTTTATTACATTTCGTTTATTCCTCCATCTAATGTCAATTTTTACAATTCATTTTAGCGTTACTTTGACAGTTATATGATCTAATTCGGGATTCTAGTTGATAACGAAAAGTAAAAGTATGCGGTGTAGTACCGTATTTCATGGGATAAAGAATAACTTTTGGTGTCAAAAATACATGAATACTCTGAAGCAAATTCTTCGAATCTGAGGTATGATATACAGTATACTATATACTGTACTATATACTCAGTACAGCAGTAACGGTAAGCAAAAATACTTAAAGTTGGTTTCACAAATTGTCATAGAAAAGTTCTAATTAATAACAATAACGATAAGGATACAGTATATTATTACCGTAAGTTCCCAAAATAGCGGGAGGGTTGGCCCGAATTAAGCTTAATTCACCACTATTATTATTATATATATACATATATATATATATATATATTACACAAAAATATTTATACGTACTGTACGTACGTACTGTACGTACAGTACATACCTGATACGTATATCATCTTACGTACGTATATATATATTAAAATATAATTAAAATTTCATTGAGTAAACTAACATTAATGCGTATTAAACCTAACCAAAGTATCAGTTATGGAACTTCGTAATCGTATGTATTGTTCACATGATACCGTCAAGCCATTATTAGTAATCTTGATGATTCAGCACTTAATTTATTTCAACAGCTCTTTCAACATTTCTTTCAAACAATAAAGACATAATACAAGCGTTCAAGTGAGTGTATCGTTACAAATAAGATTAAGGCTGTGATAAAATTTTATATATCTTGAAAGATAAAGAGTGAATGAATCCTTAAGATTATTGCAAAAGTGTGCGAGAGTTACTTATATACACATTAGCTACGATGAAGCCGCTTCCCTTCCGCTCGAGAAATTATGCAATTATGACATTCTTTCTGTAATTATAATGTTCATGTTTTCGCTTAATTGTTGTGATTGCTGCATTTTCGCTACAATTATAGCATTCTTACTCAAAATCGAATACCAAAAAAAATATATATATATTTATCTAATCGTGATTATTCGCTCATTATGCTAAGGATTGGACCCGGATGAAGATTGGGTAAACTAAAATATTAATCAATTGATATAAAGTAGGTGTACCTTATAATATATATTTCAACGGGTTCAATCTCTGCACTATACGGACAGAATCCTGATAAACCAGGATTTATTTAAATTTGATAATCTCTAACCATGAGTATCGTTATAATTTACAATTCAATATCGAATATGATTAAACCAATTTTCTTTTAACATTTTTAGATAAATTATCAAGATTTTAATCTTGAATATTCTGGATTTTTAATCATCTGTTTGGCTATCAGTATCTCAAAATATTTGGGATCTTGAATATCGATCGGGCTGGATCTTGAACTGTCAGGGCCCTTATCTCTTTAATATCAAGATATATATTAGACGTGTTACAAATCAAAAATACCTGTAATTTAATTCATTAATCTTGTGACAAACCCTGTAAATTCGTCACTATAACCCCAATTTCTATACACATTAGATACCCTGTGGTAGAGGCCTGCAAATTAATGATTTTTAAGGCCCGGCCCGGCCCGCATTTAATATTAAAAATTTTTTGCCGGCCCGGCCTAATTATTTTAAATTTTAGGCCTAGCCTGGCCAGCAAATATATAAACTTTAAAATTTTAAAATAATTTAAATTATTTATTAAATATATACAATAAATTTATAAATTATTAATTTTTTATAAATTAGTTTAATAGATAATTTGTCTATTATTTGAAAAAGATTTGCAAATTTTATAAGTATAGTCAAACCCCTCTATAGTCACACCTTCGGGATACAAAAACCCGTGATTGTAAAGAGGTATGACTAATATAGAGGTATTTTTTATATAGTTATAAATAATTGGTAAAAATAAATTTGTAATTATACCAATTTTGTAACTATAGAGGAGGTGACTATAGAGGGGTTTGACTATATATTTTATTATTGAGCTAAATGTAAAGTGCACTAGTTTAAATTTTTTTTTATTAAATAAACCATTTTTGGATTTCTAGATACATTTAATAGTAGTAAAAACAGTAAAATCTGTTTAAAAATTTTTAAAATATTCTTAAAAAATGTTTTGCTAAATACAATTCACACAAATACTATATAAATTTTAAAAATCTTATATTTATAAAGATATTGTATTTAAAAAATAAAAATTTATAAATATATACACTAGTCAAAAAAGTAAAAATTAGTTACAAATCAACCAGAAATTAACTAAAAATTGCTAAATTTTGGTTGAGTTCAGGTTGAATTTATTTAAAAAATATTAAAAAAAACAAGTAGTTAATTTTTAAAATCAGTAGTTAATTGGTGATTGATTATACTGTAGATCAAATATTTAATTTTGATATTTAATCTAAAATCAGCTTTGAATTTAGATTAAATATTAGTTTAAATTTAAAGACTGATTTTAGATCAAATAGCAAAATTAAATCAGTTATCTGTTTTTTTAATATTTTTGAATAAAATTTAAGTTAATTTTTTTGGCTAATTTAATCTAAATTTAATTAAAATTTAATAATTAATTACTGATTAGTGATTGGTTTTTAGTTAATTTCTGGTTGATTTGTAATTAATTTTTATCTTTTTAACTAGTAATATATAATAGAGACATAGCAAAATTATGTATTTATAGAATTTTTTTTTTTTTTTAATATCAAAATGACCTCATGGTCAGTTACCTTTATTAGTTTATATGCTAAACTGATCGAGTCAGCTATTATATAGTTTTGAAGAGTACAATTAGCCACATGTACAGTACTGGACAGCAAGAAACATCTAATTTTTTTTAAAAGTACCAAATTTTGAGATTTATACTCAAATCTGATTGGCTATTTTTTGTATAACAAGATTCTGGTTGGTTAAAAATCTAT